AATTCACTGCAATTCACTTGGAAGTTAAATGAACAAAAAGTATTGTCTCACCAGAACACCCTGACTGCCTTGTGAGAAACAGGCCTACACAGCTGGAGTGGGTTACAGGGTGGGTGTTCCAGCTCTCTCTCACACTGGATTAGGTGGAGACTAGACAGATGGTTGCAACCTTGTGGTGGTGTTGCCACTTCATGGGTACTGCTCAGAGGTTCCAGGGATAGTTAATCTGTGCAGTGTAACACTTACAAGACAATGTTTTCATGGGTTAGTTCAGCTTGCTTAGAATTGGGAGTACATCAATTGTGTAATTCAAATACCTACTTGTAATTCAAATACTTGTAAAAAAATTTATTACAATAAATTAGTAAAATTGGTCCATTTCTTTCTAGTCTAATAACTTCTCTCCAGGTTATTAGACCTCTAGCAGAAATGCAACATAGGGCTGGCAAAACAGATCAATTTGTTCAAACTATTCTATCTGCTGCCTGTCCTGTGAACTTGTTTGTTTAACTATTTGTCATATTTTTATGATTTGTCTGTAAACAGTATATGTTGGCACTGTCTTTCGAGTGTATTGAGTCAAGTGGCAGACTTTTTGAAGGATTTCTTTAGAACAAACTTTTCAATTTTATTTTCAAAAGTATGGGACTCTAGGTTTATGTTTAGGTAGAGAAAAATAAAATCAATATTTTTATTTTGGTTTTTGTCAAAGAAAGACATTCTGTCTCTTGGGAACCTCAGTTTGCTAAACTAAGCTAGAGATTGCAGATATTTGAGACTATCAAATATTTTTGATAACTTCTTTAATAAACAGGATGCAAGAGTTAAATGTAAGAAAAGAGAAAATATGAAAATTTAATCCTTCCTTTATTCTGTGCTTCATCTCCTTTTCTTCCTTTGCCCATTAATTTTCAGTGTCCTTTAAAGGACAGGTAAATCTGACTGCACTGGAATTTGGAGTATAACACTGAAAGTGTTTAAACTTGTTAAAAGGCTTGTTTCTTTTAACACACGGCCCCTAGGATCTGTTGTGTGTCTTGTCATACCCTTCTATCATAGATTGTTTGTTCTTGAAAATTATCTTTTAGTATATGGTATATTTAGTATAAAATTTGTAGGTGGTGTCTTGTTCTAGTTTGCAATCTCCTTATTCCATATTCACTGAATTTACATGTTGGATCAGTTCTGTGTGCCTTTTCATAAATAAACTTTAAGCATTTGTTTCAATTATGACATTTAAGTATATCTCTGCTTCAAGGTGCCCGTGGCTCTCATGAGAAACAAAAACTGATTAAATTAAAAGAAAGGAAGAAACAAATTAGAATAAGAACTTGAGATAAAATGAATTCTTGTATTCACCTGTAAGCTTCTTTTTCTTCTTGGAAAAAGCACTCAAAAAGGGGGAATTTCTACTGTGGAAGGAATCTCACTTGGTTGCTCTAGTAAGAATGAAAAGATAAATTTGCAAATGGAAATTACTTATGCTTCACTGTCAGACTTTTGGGTGACCAGGGAAGTGAAAGTGTGTGGTGTTTCAAGTCTTGTTGGTCTGAGCTTTAATTGAGAAATGGAAGATTTTATAGCTAGTCTCAAAAGGTAGTAGTCCTGAGCACTATGCTTGCACGTTTGAAGCTTTTCTGCAGTGCAGAGGTAATATTTTTTGTTCTTTTAAATTTATAGTGAATCAGTTGTTTCATGTTTGAATGCTGTTATGTGCAAATGCAAACTTGTTTGCACTAGCTTCATCTGCTTTTAATAAGGACAGTTTTATTTTGAAGGAAATAAGAAGATGGCTAAAACTGACCTTTTTATAAAGGCCTTTCTGTTACAATGTGAGGAAAATGGTTTAAAATATCTTGTAGTGGTCCAATTCTTGACTTTTAGCTTGCAATTAAAAAATGTAAGCCTAATACCTACCTCATTACTTTCCATTGTAGCCTGCATCACAAATCTCAGATGCTATTTTGACTATTTTATTAACTGATTTGTTATCTTATGACAAGATCCATCCTTTGGTCATACCTGCTCTTATAGTGCAATGTATTGAATGCTTGCATTCTTACAGGTGGCTTTAATTTTGTGAGGTAAATAGTAATTTTAAAATCCCAGTTTTTCTCTTAAGATTTAACTTGGTATCAGTGCGGGATAAAGTCTTAGACCCTTAATTTGTAATAGCATGGGGATGGACACTTACGTCCAACTTAGGAGTGAAATTTGGAGCTTATAGTTCTTCTGAACCTCCTAATAGGATGAAATACCAGTATTTATAAAATATATTTGAATCTTCTTATTATTTTAATATGTGTTTTAGCAGAGGGAGAACAGGGTCCTACTTAACATTTTGGAGCAAGTCCAGAGGAGACCTATGAGGATGATTTAGAGGCATGGAATACCTGTGCTTTGAGGAGATCAGAGTTGGGGTTGTTAAGCCTGGACAAGAGACATCTCTGGGGAGATGTTAGAGCACCTGTACAGTACCTAAAGGAGGCCTGCAGGAAGGCTGGAGAGGGGCTTCTCACAAGGCCAAGGGATGATGGCTGTGAAATAGGACAGGGCTGAGTGAGATTAGATATCAGAAAGAATTATTTCCTGTGAGGGTGGTGAGACACTGTAAGAGGTTCCCCAGAGAAGCTGTGGATGCCCCATCCTGTGGAGTATTCAAGGCCAGGTTGGAGGGGGGCTCTCAGCAACCTGGTGTGGTGGAAGGTGCCCCTGCCCATGGCAGAGGGTTTGGAATCAGATGATCTTTAAGGTCCCTTCCAACCCAAACCATTCTATGATTCCATGTTCATCTAATCTAGACCATGCAATAATAACTTGTCCTGGGTTAACCTGTGACCCTCAAATGGAAGTGATAATTTTCTGTTCGGTTAAGTAATCCTTCTAACAGCTTGTAATGCAAGGGTTTTGCATTTCAGTGGCCCTATGTGGTGGCTAAAGAAGTGATGGGGTAGGAACACTATGGGATTTTCACTTGGGTTTGCAGCATGACAATGTAGAGATGTAACTGCAAGTACTCATTCTGTATGGGGAAATGGGATGAGAGCTTTTCCTTGACCCTGGACTTAAACCTTACACCTAAAAAGTTTTGTAGGGAAGATACTGTTCTACTTACTGTAGAAGTTGAATGTGTGTGTGAAGGCACTAAGTACCTACAAAATGTGCTACTGCTCTGCTGCCTTGGAGATTTTTGCTGACTGCACTGCACTCTAGTGGGGTTTTTAGAAAACCTTGGCCATGCATCTGAAGCAGTGTAAGCTTTGCAATAGTTGTAGCTGTCTGCTGATTATTAAATATTCACATTCAATATGGTTCATCTGTGCTTTAAGAGTAAATATTATTGTGGGCTTGTAATATGATGAGCAGAGCCATGTATGCAGCAAGTGTCTATTGGTTTCAAGGCTGGATGTCAGAGAAGAAATGCAAGAATCAGTACATGCATATAGGCATGAAACAAATGGAAAAAAAAGGCAACCAAAAACATAGGGGGAGCAGAAAGAGGTTTGGTAAGTGTGGAAGCTCTTCCATAGTTGCTGTCTGTGTTTTTGGATGACGGTTAAATTTTGTTTTGCTGGTTCTGCAAAACCACAAGAGAGCAACTAATTTCTTTCTTTGCCAGCAGGAGCCTCTACTTTAAGGGTGATAACCTGTCTGTTACAAGCAGGAGTTGTATCTATTAAGTGGAGCCCAAACATTAAAATACTGTGATTTTACAGCAACACCTGATGGAGCTGTAAATGCAGGTGCTAAACCATAACATATGGCTCTGCATACAAATTATGTATTATTTTCTTTGCTAGATGTGTTTGAAGTTAATGTTTTACAGGAACTTTTGCTTTTCTGGATGCTTAATGTTAAAACTAAGAAAAGTGGTGTTGGGTGGTGCAGTTGGAGTGCTGTACTTCATTATGCAATTGCAATGCATAAGGGATAACTGTTCAACAGGATACTAAGCTGAAAACTGGTTTTTGAAATGTGCAAAAACCCTGATCTTTGAAATTTATTTTTTTTAATAAAGCAACAGCACATACTCTTGAGTTATATAGGGTTTTTTTGAGACTTCTTTCTGAACACCATCCCTCTGAGATGCTTCTAGTGCTTAACCTGTGTAGGTTGAAATATCTGTGTAGTGAGAAAGCACAGTACTAAGTGTATGATCAGCAGTAGAAAAAGAACGCCTACATTTCACGAGTCCTGAAGCCTCTCTTTCACTTGATACAGTGGTACAATTATTGTGTTTTCTGTGACAAGCAGCAAACCAGGTACTATTATTGAGGACCGCTTTCAGCTTTTTTGTGGTTCTTTTTTGTGAAGCATTGATCTGCTTTCACAAGAGAAAGTGAAGGACTGTAACATTCATAAGAACTGTGCAGTATTTTTCCATGGAATTTAGACACTGTTGCTCAGGGCAAGTGCCAGTAATCTGGGAGATGTTCCATTGTGAGAGGAGAGATATAAAGTAAGTGGCTTAATGCACTTCAAAGTGCAGGTGAGGAAAACACTTCAAAGAAGATGTTGGTATACAGAGGGCCTGGATTGATTATCTTTTATTTTTCTCGACTTGAATATGTAGTTTTTGAGTCAGTGTCTATTTGCTTGCCTGTTGTATTGCCAGTATGTCCTTTGTGTTAATGTGCTCCTGCAGCTGGGTTAGTGGAAAGGGATATTTTCAGATGTTTTGCCAAAGCTTCTATAATATGTATTTAACAAGCAAAATTTATCTGCTTCATGGGTGTTCTGTGTCAGTTGTCAGGGCTTCTAAATGTTCCCATTAGGCTTTTTCCTTTTCTAGACAGCTTTGTTATGTTTGCTTTGTGCTTTATTTTCATAGGGCAGACGATGGATGCTTGGTGCGCTCATTGTTTCTGCAGTTGACATTATTTGAGGGATTAATTCTGAACTTAAAGCTCTTTCTTCTTTATACACTTCGTAATTCCCACCACTGGTGCAGTCCCCACTCTTCAGAACATTTCTCAATCTAATTTTTTGTTGTATTTCAGGGAATACCTTGGGAAGCAGTTGCAGTCAGAACAACCTCAGACGGCCACTGCACGGAGCTAAGCACCTCCATCAGTGCATGCAGTTTGTGCTTACAACTACAGTGTGTTTCTCTTTAAATGAATACAAAGGAAATTCTGAAATCACATGCTCTTTGTCTTCTACGGGTGCATAAACATTCCAACTTTCCTCTAGTGTTGTTGGCTTACTAAAAATTTGTTTGTTTAACTAGGTCTGCTGATTATGCCTATTAGCTTCTTGTTCTATTCTGAATGTATATGAAGAAATGTGGCTAATATATTGCATTTGTTTTATGTATTTATTCTCATAATAAAGACCATTATTAAAGGATATCCGTTCCATAAGGGATATTATAATTAGCCTAGAAAAATTGTTCATTTCTTTTAATGGCTTATCAGTGTTGTCACTTCCCAAGAAAAGTAAGTTGTCCCCTTATGTCTCAGACAAATTAGTAAGGCTTTGACTTAGTGTTTCATAGAAAGTGCAATAGCCTGAGAAATATTGATTATCAATACTAAAACATATACCAAGTCTCAAAATAGTGTTGAAATTGTATATAAAAGCAAAGGTATGGGTAGGGCTTTTTTGGGAGGGTGGGGTAGTTTTTTTGTTAGAAACTACATTAAAAAATCTGGAAATGAGAAGAGGAAAAGAAAACAATCACTCCTCCATCAGTGAAAACACACCCTCAAGATTATAAGTCCAGCTGTATAACACCAGTGGTTAAGGCTGTAGATCAGAGATCAAGTTGAGGGTGTGTGTTTTTTTTTTTAATGTGCACTACTAGCTGCTGAAATTGTAATTTCATGGAGTTTTTGGTTATTGAAAATACTTGTAAATGTTAGGGTTCTGGTTTCATTCCAAAATCCATTGTATTTCTTTTATATTAAGCCAGATAATTTGGCTATCAATATTTTCTGTGTTTTGTGTTCAGTATAAAATATGTAATCAATAAATTTAAGCTGATCTTGGCTTGGCATATGAGAAGAGTTTTGTTGCATAGATAGAAGCCTGCTCCAGGCACTTGCAATACCAAGCAGTTAATATTCTTGTGATTCATTATTAGAATTAAAAAAAAAAGTGAACATAATCTTGTCAGTAGTCATTTAAGGTGCAAGTCTCTGAGGAAGCTCAAAGTACTTTGTCATCAAGTGAAAAGACTAATTGGAAAAACTCTTCCTTATCCAGCCTGGATTTTCATCATATGTAATTAAAATTGACCACTGTTGCAATGGAGAGAGAAGAGAGTTAGAGGACTACAGGTTGATGATTTCTTGTCTGCTTAATTAAAATTGGATTGTGTAGCTTAATGACTGTTGCTTACTTTTGCATATAGAAGGCAAAGGCCTTGATATTGTAGTCAGTATCACAAGACTAGAAAGAATTAACCCTCACTCCAACTAAAGTCAGTTTATGTGAGTAGATCTTAGCTTTGCATATTCCCACAGTGCTGGGGGATACAGGTGGTGTGGGAAGCAGCTGGGAGAACAGGGGTGCGCCTACACTGCCATTCTTACCTTGGATCAGTTAAATGCTCTTGGAATTAATCTCTGAGTCCTCCCTGCATTTCACACTTCAATTTACATTGCATGGTGGTGTCAGCCCATGAATGGGGTTCTTCTCCAATCAAGCTGGGTCTCAGGATGCACATCTTGCATGATGTGCATCACGCTGTACATCCTGTGTGTCTTGGCTACGTGGCAAGCGTTCAGGCTACTGCACCATGTAGATTTTGTTTGAAGCATGGCCTTTAGAAATGCATGCAGAGTGAATGCTGAATTAGCACCAAGTGTCTTGCTCTTCAAAGCAGCTTATCATGTCACACTTGACAATGAAAGCAGGGCCTAAGACTGCTCTAAAAGGTTGGTCCTATGGTTACAGCTGTAGTGTTGGATCCAAGAACTGTGGCGTGGCATTAATGAGAAAGCAATGTCTCCCCACCTTCAAAACCAAAAGGTTTCCTTTTCCAAAGGGAACACTAAAGCACTGCTGGGTAAGGAGATCTGGATTGAATTGTAGAAGTAAACATGATGAATACTACCACTGGAAACCTCTTCATTTCTTCTGGAGGAGCTAGAAATAACCAAGTCGCTCGTAATGTGAAACAAAATTGCTTACAGGGCTTGACCTAAAACATCTGAGTATTATTTTCATGTATTATACAAATAAATTCTCCTCTCCTGCTTTGCTAGTATTATCCTGTGCATAATTTAATTCTTCATCATGTGGCATGTTTATAAGCTGTGTGACACCTGGCATTCTCTGACATTTAGTTACCACCTTGTGTCCAACAGCTCTCTAATTAAAGCAATGGTTCTGAAGTTTCACTTACATCCCTGTATGTTATTGATGTCCTGGTGCCTGTGAAACCTGGAAGCCTGCAAGCTCTGAGGTTTCCAGCTGCCAGTGGTAAAATTCAGGTGCCTCAAAGCTTGGATCTGAGTGGGTTTCTGCCAACAATTGTACCTTAAGAAGCCTGGAAACCTGCAGGGGTGGACGTTATGGAGGACTTCTTGTTGTGCAGCAGTAATTTGGACTGAAGTTGCCAGAGCTGAGATTTCTGCAGGAGTCAGGCTGCTCATGGTGTCCTACAGGTCCTGGGGAATTTTGACATAGCAGGGAGCTGCAGAGCAATTTCCATACATGGGTTCTTCATCTCCCATCCCACTTGTTGGCAGTGAAAGGCCTTCATCCATGGTCCCATGAGAGAAAGGAGGACAGAGCTGTTGAGCTTTTAACCTTTGGAATCAGGAAAATCAACCAAAAGTTTTGGTTGAATTTTAATTAATTAGTAAAACTTCCTACTGAATCTGTTTTTTTGTCTTACAAGCCTAGTGCTAGCTTTTGCTACTGAGTGTTGTTTTTACTATTCATCTGTTTGCATTACTCACTTTCCTTGCTCAGCCTCTTTCTCCCAAAATCTGGCCTGCTGCAGGCAGGCAGGCAGATGCCATGGTGCATGTTGGGTGCTTCAAGGTTGTGTGATGATGGTGTGGGGAGAGCACAGTGTCAGGAAGAGAAATGTGTGCCAGCAGCTTCCTTTGTTCCCTCCGGTGATGTGAAGATTTAGAGACAGCTGGATATGAGCTGCTATGGACCAGATGACTAACTTGCTCCTAAGGCGAGGAGACATAGTCACCATCCTCCAAATTAGGGTAATCAATCTTCTCTGGGAGAAATTCACTGTTTCCCTAACTTTTGATTTAATTCTTATGTTTCCTCCAATAATAAATGGAGTTTAATTTTCCTTTATTTTCCTGGAGTTTAATTAAAGTAACAGAGTCTTTGAAATCTTTAGATAAACTGACTTTTAAGTTTAATTTGAGATTTCTTTTACTTTTCTGGTTAAATGACTTTCTTTGAGCTTTGGTCTTGGTCTGAAATCTGAAGAGGAAAAAAATTTGAGTAAGTTTTCAAGACAGCAACTGTGAAAAGAATTTAAACCTGTAACAATTCTATGTAGGAGGGATGCATGATGAGGTACTGACACCTAGAAGAACTAAGGCAGGAAAATGCCTTTAATCATGTGCTTACTGAATGTTTATTATTCCCACAAGCTGGTTGAGATCTTAAGGCCAGATTTTGCTCTTGGCCAGTAAAAAACTCTGCTGGAAACAAACCAGGGCTGAGCAGGAGATGGGTTGCCCAGGCCCTGGGTGTACCATACTACCCAACACCTCTTTTCAGTATCTCATCTGAGCTTCAAAAGTTCCTTTGTGCACCTGTGTGAGGAAATGAAGATGGTCACTCATTTCTAACACTCTGAGCTGTTGGGTCTATACCTTTTCAGGAATATGGCATGCAGGTTTTATGCAGTAAGTGCATGCAGTGACAAGGACTCAGGGGGAAATTGGTTAACTCACCTCTATACAAAAGTTTTTGCTTTTCCCTTTGACAGCTTCTGCAGAATAGTTGGGAATTGTCTTCTTAGAGCCACATGTTGTCAGAGCTGGGAAGAGAGCTTGTGCTCTTGTAACGACCAGGTATGTTATTAATTGTATTTGCATCCTCTTAGACTCCAAAGTGATTACCAAAAAAGTCTGAACTGCTGTTAAGATTTATTAATGGCCGAGAGGATCATCATTTGAATACCACAGAAAGCAACAAACTGTCTTGCAAATGTTAGGTGCTGCATTTAGGGAGTTATCTGAGAACTCTTTACCTTGTGGTATGCATATTTCATTGGCACAGCTGGTTCTGAGATGCACATCTGGTTCTGAGATTGATGAACACAAGCCGTGCTAAAAACTGCCAGTGTCCTTTGCTTAAGAATATTTTTCATGGCCTGCCCCTGGGCCTTACTGATGCTTTTAACCTAAATTACTGTATAGTAAGGAGCCTAGTAAATTAAAAAAAAAAAGGAATAACAACTGATGTTTTGCAGCGTTTTGTTTCTCTTTCTTGGTTATGTCCAAGATAACTTCTGTACTATGGAAAAGTAATTTTAATTTGAGGGAAAACTGGGAAAAAGAAAAAAAACAATCCCTCTTCATATAAATGTGGATAGAAACCATATATATATATATATATACATATATATAACTTCATAATCTCACAGATTTTCCCAGAAGTGCACAATAATTTCCCTCTGTGTGAAAAGTAAATCTGCAAAAGGGAAAAAAGAAGACTTTCAAGAGTCATTTTTGGTGCCTTTCTAAGCATATTCCTAATATAATTTTTCCAAGGCTCTTCAGTTTGCTGAGTCTGGACTCTGTGCAGAGACAAACTGTCAAGGTGAAAATAACTTTTTCAGTGTCATTCATTAAGCATTTTAAAAATACTTCATGTATCCAGCTCTGCCAAGAATGGGCAAAGAAACTGGACAGCTGATTGCAGCAATGACCTGTTAAAACCTATTGATTTGGAAATCACAGAACTGCTACAATATCAGACTATTTTATAGGAAGAAAGCATGATAAATTGTGGGCTTAAAGGTCATCATTCTCTAGGCAATTTTCATGTGGTAAGGAAGGGTGAAAAACAAGTCTGTTCTGTCAGGTGTAGGTGGCTAAAATGCAGCTTTGGATTATGAGTCTGTCAGTGTGGGGATCATGGCAACAGCTTGCTTTTTTTCCTTTTTTTTTCTGCTAGAAGATCACAGGCTATCTCCATCTTTGGAGATTTGCAAAGATTACAATGCATTTACAAAGAATCACTTTATCTGGCTTCCCCAGCTGGTGCACTTGAAAGGAGCTGGTCCTCTCCTATCCAAGTGTCTGTGGGTAAGAGAGCACTGATGAAAAACTAAAATCCATCTGGGATGTCTTTGGTGAAGTCCTTTTACTGGAAGTGCATAAATTGTACCTTCTGTTGTGTGTCTGAATGTCACACCTCTAAATTTCAATTCTCAGGTGTCATCTAGTTCTTTCTGTATTATATTCTAATTTCTCTTAGAATTGGTAGAATTTCACAATTTAAATATATTTTGTTGCTATGTCAAGCAGATGATGGATGAGACCTAGAATAAGGGAAATGTTTTAGAAAAAAATAGTTACTTTCCTCTGGTAAGAAAAGATTATTTATGCAGATATAAGACTATATCTTCTATCTTGTTGTATTTTACCTGTTTTTCTTATATATTCTAGTTCAAACTCTATCAAATACTATTTCTAAAGAAATAGTCAAGATTTTTATCATATTGCTCTTAACCTGTCAAGCCTATTTTCTTCTTCTTTATTTTTTCCCACTTTGAGATATTGAATGTCCTGAATTTTAGCACCTCTGACTTCACATGCACAGTGCTGATTTTTTTCTTCTAAGAAATCTGGAATGGGATGAAATATTTCCTTAAAGAGAATACATTAAACTTCCTAGATTTTATGTCTATGGAAGTTCCAACTTTCTTACCTAAATATCCTTTAACCTGGGCTGAACTTCATGGCTCTGACTGCCCTGCAGGGAGTAGGCACTGAAACTTCTTTTAGTCTGTTTGTCCTGTCATGCCTCTGTGCCCTTTCTGGAGGTAAAAGGA